GCTTGCCTTTAGCCACTATGTGATTTTTGCAGATCTTGTTTAAAGAAAAATGGAAAAGTGACTGTCCTGGCCTCCAATTTCTCCAATGCATTCCAGTTTTTTAGGTGCTACACATAACCTGCCATTCCTCACAAAAACCTAAGCCTCTCCCTTCCTGAGGCTGCTAGCACAATACACAGACTTTACAGAGATCATTAAGGTAGGTGAAAATCTACCACCCCCCTGCAATGGAAACCAATTTACTGTAGACTCATCTAGTTTTGTGTGTGGCCAGAATATAGATTTGCCACTACTCAGAGGCTCTTTTTTGTGGAGAGAGAAACAAAAACAAAAAACAAAAATGTCTGAAGCGTAGTTATCCGTAGAGCATTTTATTGTGGATTTAGACACTAATTGGTAAATTGGTGCTTCAGTGGTCATCTCCACTTTAATGATAGAGTTTCGCTAATATAATCATAGCCTGTCACGGTTTTCTGGTGAGACCTGCCTGAATTACAGTTCTGCAAAGGTCATTTGTGAGGCTGGACATTGCATGACTCATCTTTCTTCCTTTTCCTCTCTTATGAAAAAAATAAAACAAAACCAGCAAAAAATCCCACCCGGATGATGTTTTTCCTGGTTGAGTGAACTGGATCATAGTACCGTTTCAACTGATTGGGCCAGTGAAAGTGCGTCTACATTGCATCGTAAGTAGAAATATGATGCGCAAGTTGAGCCATGCATCTTATTTCAAAGTAGCTTATTTTGAAATTTGGTGCTGTGTACACAGCATTTATTTTGAAATAAATCTTCTGAAATGTCCCTTACTCCTTGTGGAATGAGGTTTACAGGGATGTCCGAATAGCGAGCCCATTATATTTCAAAATAACAGGTGCGCTCAAAAGACGCGGAATAACTATTTTGGGATGCCGGGGGGTATCCGAATGCCGTCCAGATGCCAACGTTTGGAAAGGAATGAGGAGGATAGGGGATTTGGAAATGAGCTAAGTGCTTAGCACTTACTGCCAGCTTATGTACTTTGATCACCAGTGGTGACATTCACCATGCTTCTGTCCAGGTATTTATACTATACTCATCACTATCAGAGCATCTATGATTATTATGATTTGCAGTTTTCAACACTGAAGCTTCCAGAGGGCAAAGGGAAATGTTTGAATGTGATTGAAACCCTACAGAAACTATAAAGATGCATTTAAGGGTGGTAGTAAGGTGTCTTCTGTGACACTCATGATGAGAGTCTGCAAACCAAAAACTGTGAGGCGAATATAAATTGCGAACTTGACATTGCCCCGTTTTGCAACTATTATCCCTATTAGTGATTGTCAAAAAAAGTTAAAGACAAAACTTTTTAGGAAGTGAATTAAACACACGATTAATCTATGCATAAAAATCACTTCACTCCAATATAGTTACAGGGAGGTTTAGAGCAATGATGTGGCTATCTTTCATGAGACTACACCTCTTACATTAAATTCCTGACCTACCTGGAAGCAAGATGGGCCAGGCTTTCCTGCTGGTATATCAGATTGGTAATAAACTTTCAGCTCTGGAGTCAGTGCAATAACAGTCTTAATCACCAATGAAATTATATCCGACCACAGTTTCTTGATATCAACCCCTTTGGAAGACAGTCTGCAGAGAACGCTTGAAAAAGTCCTTTTGCTGCCGGTGTTTACGTTGTCAGAATGGATAAAGTTCCCGCTGTGAATGTTCAGTGAATAGTTGGTTAGGTGCATAAATACCTGGTGCAAGTTTTTGAGAGTCGGCTCTTGATAGGGCTCTGTACAAAATCGAGAGAGTCCATCTTTGGCTATATAAATCTCCAATGGCTCTAAAGATTTCAGTAAGACATATAGACGAATATCAAATTTCAATTTGTCAATCAGCAGCGGTTTGCTGATATATTCCTGGACTACAGCTGGCCGGCACTGGAGGTTTCCTGCCAGTCTAATGTCACTGGGGTCTTTAATGAGGTAGATTCCATCCCCTTGACAACCGCCATCAGGTTTCACAATGAAAGTGGGCTTCCAGGGTGGATCGCTCTCTTTCATTATGCGAACCTAGAAGGAAAGAAAGGCAATTAGATTAAAGAAGGACAAGAATACACAGAATACACCTTCCTTATTTCGGAAGGAAAAGCTTTTAATGCTACGACAACATGGGAAAGGAATTTCCACATACTTGTAAAATACGCAGCATTACAGTAAAATACACAGCATTACAGAAGTAAACATCAGGCAAGTGAGGGCACATCTAGACTACGGGCTTTTTCCCCCGAAAGGAGATATGCAAATTCGGTGCTAATTTGCATATCATCTTCTGATTGCATTTTCAAAAGCGGGTCTTTCAAAAGTGAAAGTAGTCTGGATGCAGGTTTTTCAGGAAAAAAACCCTTTTTCGAAAACCCACAAACTTCCTTTTTTTAGGAAGAGCTGCTTTCGAAAATGCAATCGGAAGAAGATCTGCAAATTAGTGCCAAAGTTGCGTACCTCCTTTAGAAAAAAAACTGTAGTCAAGATGTGCTCTGAGTGCGGAAAATACACAGTGGCATTGGGAAGAACACAAAAATCAGGTAAAAAATGTGGGAGAGCAGTTATTGATCTAGAGGGATTGCAGTTTATATAGCATCCCATCATGGAAAGGTTCTCAGGCACCTTCTTTTAATGCAGTGTGACAATATACAGTGTAAGGGCATGTCTACACAGCAGGGCTAAAGTCGAATGAAGCTACACAACTTCAGCTACATCAATTGTATAGCTGAAGTCAAAATAACTTAATTCAGCTTTTGGCACGGTCTACACAGTAGGAAGTCGAAGGAAGAACATTCTTCCTTCGACTTCCCTTACTCCTCCTGAAACAAGAGTTATAGGAGTTGGAGTAAGAAGTCCTCCAGCTGGACATTATTTCAAAATGAAGGCTTGTAGTGTAGGTACCAGTAGGTTATTTCGGAACAACTGACGTGTAGACATACCCTAAATCTCTTCTTGTTTTTGATGGCTTCATCTAGCTGGGATGCCGAACGACTCACTAATGTGAGTGGAGCTGTGAGACTTAACTTTTGTGAAGCATGTTGAATATTTACTTACAGAAAATCATGAAACAAAGAAAAAAAAAGCAGTCTCGTTTTTTTCAATGTTAAAGTTAGACAAACAACCATGAGGAGAGAGAAGACAGGGCAGTCATGAGACATGACTGTCACTCATTTGGGGTTAATGCTCTCTGAAATGGTTTGAAATAATAGCCTTAGTATTAAAGGAGAGAGATCCTGTCCTGAAGACACTGCATCTACCATCACCCAGCTATCACAAAATAGCTGCATGTTCCCTACCAGCAAGTCTTCTAATCCGACGGATGGAGTAAACTAACGGCTTGCTGGGGAAAGAGCCTGATGTAGCTCGTGACACTAGCTTCCCCACACTAACTCCCCGTATGAATGCTCTTAGTCTGCACCAAGACTACCTCTGTGCAGCTTGGCTTAAATTGCACAAAGGCAGTCACGGTACGCAGTGAGGGTGTTCGCAAGGGGATTTAGTGAAGACTGGCCAATGCACTTGAAAGTCACGTCCTAGCTTACTCCACATGTAGACCAGACTGTACAAGGGTGGGCAACAAGTGCCTGTGAGCCAGACATGATTCCCCTCTTTATTTACCTGAGCGTCCACAAGTACAGCTTCTCGCAGTTCCCACTGGCTGCAGTTCGCTGTTCCTGGCCAATGGGAGGTGTGGGAAGCAGTGACCCAGCCCACAGCACTTCCTGCAGCTCCCATTGGCTGGGAATGGTGAACCGCAGCCAATGGGAGTTGCATGTGGCCACGCCTGTGGACACACAGGTAAATAAAGCATCTGGTGGCTCGCCAAGGGCTAACCCTGGCAAACTGCCTCTGGGCCACTTATTGCCCACCCTTGCCTTAGAAGATGCTGTTCTCTCTAGTTAACCAAATCCAGACCTGGACTTCAATATGAACAGCACAAATGGCTGTGGTGCCTTTTACTTAACGAAGCTTTTGCAAACCAATGTTTTATTCAAGAGACATGCACTTGATGTTTCTGAGAAGCACTTCCATCCTCCCAGGAAGGCTATGTCTACACTTACAGAGGTGTGCAGAGTACAGACATGACACATGTAGCTACCCACGCCAGCAACAGGCTCCAGCTGCCAGAGCCATTCACTGTGGTTAGGGAAGGCTGCAGCAAGAAGGCGGCAGTGGAGAAAGGACCAGCAACAAGAAGCTAGTGGAGCCTTTTACTGCAGTGGGGAAAGGCTCTGGCAGCAGGACATTAGCATGCTAAAAACAGCTGTGTAGATATGGCCGGCATAGCTTGGGCATGTAAAGAATTGTACAGAGTATATATTCTGGGGCTATGTCTAGACTACATCCCTTTTTTGTAAAAGGGATGTAAATTAGACATATCACAATTGCTAATGAAGCGGGGATTTAAATCGTCCCCGCTTCATTAGCATAAAAATGGCTCCCGCTTTTTTTCAGCACGGAGCTTTGCTGGAGAAAAGCGCCAGTCTAGACGCTGATCTTTCAGAAAATAAAGCCTTTTCCGAAAGATCCCTTATCCCTTATTTCAAGAGGGATAAGGGATCTTTCAGAAAAGGCTTTATTTTCCGCAAGATCAGCGTCTAGACTGGCACTTTTCTCCGGCAAAGCGTCGTGCTGAAAAAAAGCGGGAGCCATTTTTATGCTAATGAAGCGGGGACGATTTAAATCCCCGCTTCATTAGCAATTGCGATACGTCTAATTTATATCCCTTTTACAAAAAAGGGATGTAGTCTAGACGTAGCCTGGGGGTTCAGACATGGAGAAATTCTACTCTATTGGTCTTAGCTCGCACTGTTGTTTAATCCCCAGACTGGCTGGTTCTGCAGTGTCTGTATTCGCCACACCACGGTAAGTGCAGCTGCACCTTGGTGAGCACGTAAAAAGGGAATTAACAATGAAAGAATGTTCAGTGCTGTAATAAAAGCTAAGAACATAAGAGTGGCCATACTGGGTCAGACCAAAGGTCCATATAGTCCTGTATCCTGTCTGCTGACAGTGGCCTATACTACTTGCCACAGAAGAAGGGAACACAACTAGTAATCATCACGTGATCCCACTCCCGTCACCCATTTCCAGACAAACAGAGTCTAGGGACACCATTCCTCCCCATCCTGGCTAATAGCCATTGATGGACCTAACCTCCAGGAATCTATCTAGCTCTTTTAAAAACACTGTTAAAGTCCTAGTCTATGCCACATCCTCTGGCAAGGAGTTCCATACGTTGACTGAGTGAAGAAAAACTCCCTTTTGTTTGTTTTAAACCTGCTGCCTATTAATTTCATTTGATCACCCCTAGTTCTTATATTGTGGGAATAAGTAAATAACATTTCCTTATTCACTTTTTCCACACCAGTCATGATTTTATAGACTATTATCATATCCCCCCTTAGTCTCCTCTTTCTAAGCTGAAAAGTCCAAGTCTTTTTAATCGCTCTTCATATGGGACTTGTTCCAAACCCCTCATCATTTTTGTTGCCCTTTTCTGAACCTTTTCCAATGCCAAGATATCTTTTTTGGCTAACACCAATTGTTTTCTCTTGTAAGCATACAACGAAGCCCACTCATTTCCACCAGTCTATTCACTTTTCTTAAAACAACATTTCCAAGCTAACTGGGGGCACAAACAAATCTTTGAATTTTTCTCCAAAATTTCAACTTTCATTCAAAGTGTCCAGCCATTCTGGTTGCAAAGAAAACATTCAAAACATGAAACCGGGGTAACAGATGCAGAAACAGCAACCTGATTTTGCAGAGAGCATGAAAGAAAAGTTCAGAAGTGTAAATTGCCCCATTCATTTCAGAGGTACTAACTCCTAGATTAGAGTTCAGGTCTTTAAGAACATGGCAAGATTGTAGGCTGATGCAATTGGTTTTATTTTCCTGAGATGGAGCTCAGTATCCTCGAATGTGGGAATACAGCTTTAAGAGATAAATATTTAAAAATATGCTACGTTTTATACTGAAACGTGTATAGAGCAAGAAACAGGGCCGGTTCAGACTGGCTGGAGTAAACACATCTACATCAGGAGGCCTCTTCCTATCTCTCTCTTCTTCATGAATAACAGGAACCCTGCCCCAGCACCCCAAACATACATCAGGTCAAGTCTTATTTCCAGATCCTCCCTTCCTCTCCAGTGCAGCAGGACTAAATCTTTTCAGTTGCATAATATGCAGTTTGGTTAAAATCCATGGGATTACTGCACACAGACTTTTGGGCCTTGAAATCAGCACCCCCCCACAACTCCTCCGACATACACATTGCAGGGCTATGTGGCTGGAAACCGATCAGTCAAGAAATGTTCATTTTCCACCAGGGATGGTTTTTGCCAAAGAGATAGGCTGTTAGTGAAACTAGGGCATACAAACAATACTATGTATCACAACAAAAATATTTTCCCCTATTGAATAGCACATTCTATATATGTCTCTAGTGGCCAACAGCTTTGGTTTGTGGCCTCTAGTGGCCACTCTTCGGTTTGTAACAGAATAGTTCCTGAAAATTATACCAATGCTATATTCAGGCCTGGAGCTCAACTATTAATTTTCTGATCAAGAGGAGCAAAAAAATTCTTTCCACCACAATCAGAGCAACTTCTAGAAGCGGTGTTGTATCCCATTAGAAAAATCTGTTCCTAGTGGATTACAATTCATGGGGTTTTTCTAGATACACAGTGTGAAATAAGCAAATAGAGGAAAGTTCATGCAGAGTTTGATGGGATTTAATATTCTACCAAAACCTTTGGTTGAATCTGAAATGCATGACATGCCTAGGCTTGTATCTTTTCCAAGTTAGCATACTTCTGAGATTTTTCAATTTGCCTATGAGTTTTCTTCTGTGTTAGTTCTGCATGAAGAGCATTGCCCCCTCGTGGATGAATCCGTAAACAACAAATTATTTGAGACAAAAACATTAAACAGATTTAAATGTGAAAAATCTGTTTAGGAAACCCCCATACTTTAGTGCTATCTGGTTTATATATACTTTACGTGCCTAGATAAATCCTCAATCT